TGTTAAATTCCGCTGCTCTGACTGTATTATTATTGGTCTCTCCATTTATGTACATCGCAATTTGATTTACACATTTAGGTGCTCTTATGTTGGGAAAATACATGTATCCAAGGGTTTATTTTCTTGTGGGATTGCTCCCTTTCACATTATGTGGTGTCTTTCTTTATCCCTCAATATAGTCTTCTTTAACACCTATTTTTTTAACTATAGGTTTTACCTCCCAGCTTTTTTTTAAATTAAATTTGCATTTGCATGAAATATGTTTTGCCATCTCCTTACTGTTTGTATATCTTGCATTGTGAGGAAGATCTCTTGTTTACTGCATATATATGGTTCTTGTTTTCTTATCTATTCAGCTACCAAGTCTTCTAATTGCAGCAGTTAAGCCACTCACATTTAAAGTGATTATTCATAGTAAGTTCATAGATAAGTTTTATTCTTTTTACTTCGTTTCCCTTTAATTCCTTCCTTACAGTTCTTATATTGATGGTTTGGTGGTAAGGCACTTCTTTTGATTTTTCTTATCTGGGAAGCTCTATATTTCTCCATCAATTTTAAATGACAGTCTTTCTGGGTAAAGAAGTCTTGGTTGAAGGCCCTTGCTTTTCATTGCTCTGAATATTTTGTGGTAATCCCTACTGGCCTGGTATGTTTCTGTAGATAAATAAGCTGGCAATCTTATGGGAACTCCCTTGCAGGTAATTGACTGTCTTTCTTTGTTGTTTTAAGATGCCCTGTCTTTTAATTTTTGTCTTTTTAATTGTGATTTGTTTTGGCCTTTTTGGGTTCATCTCATTTTGGACTCAGCTTCCTGGACTTGTGTGTCTTTTCCTTCACCAGGGCAGAGAAGTGTGCAGTCATTATTTCTTTTAATAGGCTGCAGTCCCTTAATGTTTCTCCTTCTCCTACTCCTTTAATGTGAATGTTGCTATGCTTCCTGTTGTCCCCAAAGTCCCTTATTTTTAAAACTTTCTTTTGTTGCTACTTTTGTCTTCTACAACTTTGTCTTCCAAATCACTAATTTGATTCTCTGCCTCATTCAACTATTTATTTCCTCTAGTGTATTCTTCATTTCAGAGATGGTAGTCTACTTCTGATAGGATCTTTTATGTTGCTTAATTGTGTGTTAGTTCTTTTTTTTAAATTTTTGTTTTTATGCTTACTATCAGTTTTCCAGGTCCCACTGATTTCATTTATTCTTCAACTAACTGATATTAACATCCTTAAAACCATTTTTTAAAAGATCTTGCATCTGATATATCGCTTGCCTTCATTTCCTTGAGTGTTTTTTTCTGTGTATATCTCCTGTTCTTGAAATCGGGGCATGTGTCTTTGTCTTCACTTTTTGGATGCCTCTGTGTGTTTGTTTCTGTGTATGAGAATCCACGTCTGGGTAGTGTGGCTTTGTGTAGCAGGTGTCCCGTGGAACCCAGTGGCAGAGTCTTCTTGATCACCTGAGCTGAGTGCCCCAGGGACGTCCCCTATGTGTGTTATGTGAACCTTCCTGTGGTGGTTGATTCTTGATTACCATTGGCCCATGCATGTATTGAGCTGATGCTCAGGCAATTTGGCTGTGACCACAGTGGACCCTACCTACAGTGTATGAGCTGCTGACAGGTGTTGACCACGTGGAGCATAATTCACCTCAGCAGGGTCTGGTGCTTGCTTAGATGTCTCTTTGGATATGGTGCTTGTGAGGCTGGCACCTGGGAGTGTTGGTCCTTGGGCATCCTAGGAGGGACTCTGGTGCTGACCAATGTCAGAAGCTTTGTGTGACTGGCCCAGGGCAATCTATTTGGATCTATAAAGCAAGTCACATTTTGTGACAGCCACTTCTGAGGCTGAGTGAGCTCAGGAAGGTCCAAGCAGGGCATCCAAGCTGGCTTTTACTGGCACTGAGCCTGGGGACAGGTCAGCAAAAGTCCCAGAACACCCCGTGGTCTTCCTGTCTGTCTGCCTCCATCTGCTGGGTGCCTGTGAGCCTCAATCAATGACAGAGCCTCTGCAAGTACTCAAGTTGCAGGAGGACGGTTCTCAGGGAGTTCCCAGGTAGAGCTGAGTGGTGTTCACCAGTTGATGCAGGTTCAAGCTCAGTGTCAGTGTTGGGTCTGAGGCAACTCAGCAAATGTCCCAGGGTAAACCAGGTCCAGCTGCCACACGCTGGGTCCTCACACATCTGTGAGCAGTGTACAGAAGATGCACGCCTGGCATTCTTCGTAGAAGGAGAATGAAAAAGTCAAAAGAGGCTGCTTCCCAGGATTCAAGATGTCTTGGTTCTGTAATCTGAGATCAGCTGTGTGAGCCTCAGAGCTTTGCAGAGGTTCTGTGGATTCTCAAAGGCCAGAGAACTGCTTCCTGTTGTGGATGATCCTGGGTCCCCTGGGAGGAGAGCCAGAGCATGGTGTGATCCTGCAGGTGTGATCCCATCATCATGTAGTGAAAAGCAGAATCCCCTCGTTCTTGGCGGATTTTAGCAGAGTCATCCCTCCATTTCCATCCCGAGAGAACTGCAGCTCTCTGCACCTTCCCACCACAGGCCCGCTCACTGGCTTCCAGGCAGCACTGTTCTGCCTTCTTTCCTGAAGGCTGGGTGAGCCAGGCTGGCTGGAGTGCAGGGAAGGGAGGATAGAGGTCCCTTTGGTGGGTTGAAATGCTACTAGGATCTTTAAGGCTTAAATTTATTTTTTCTGTTTCTGCTCCCACTCTAGACCTAAGCAGCCAAAGTAGTGCTTAGCTCGCTCTCACGGAAGCACAGTTCTGCCTTGCACCAGTGCCCCATGTCACCAGATCAGTGCAGGGAGCAACTGGAGGTAGAAGACAGGGCATTCCTCTCCCAGCAGTGCAGCACCATCACAGGCATGATGCCGCCTGGAGAGCTGCCACTGCTGGAGTGAGCGCTGAAGGCTTTTAGGCACAGAGCGAAATGGTCTCATATCTTTTCAAGATCACTCTGATTTGCACTTTTATTTTACTTAAAATTGTTTTACTAATTTAATTTTTTTCAATTAAAGATGACGTTCAATGTTAGTTTCAAGTGTACAAAATATTGGTTAGACATTCATATAACATATAAAGTGATCATCTGATAAGTCTAGCATGAAGTATCATTAAAAAGATTATCAATCCTATTCATGAGGGCTCCAACCTTGTAACCTAATCAACCTCAAAGTTACAGCTTTTATT